CATCTTTAAAGCAGCGGCCGTCCTCACACTAGGCTAGTTAAAGCAGCGGCCGTCCTCACACTAGGCTAGTTAAAGCAGCGGCCGTCCTCACACTAGGCTAGTTAAAGCAGCGGCCGTCCTCACACTAGCATCTTTAAAGCAGCGGCCGTCCTCACACTAGGCTAGTTAAAGCAGCGGCCGTCCTCACACTAGGCTGGTTAAAGCAGCGGCCGTCCTCCCCAGACGCAGTCGTCAGTTGTAACATTCTGTGCATTAAAAATTGGTTTGTTCTCATATATAAATTAATATTAGTATACATAAAAATTCTATGTATAGGTAGGCGTAGGTTACTTTAGGTTAGGTTAAAGACGCAGGTTAGTTAGGTTAAGCAAAAAATACTCCTATCCAATGACGATGGTCTGCTTTCAGCCTCTGACACTGCTATTCAATTCAATAGTTTCTTCTCATCCATTTTTTTTTATAAAACAAATACATGACAAGGAAAGCATGACAACATTAAGGCACCGAAGCACCAAAAGAAACACCTTACACCAGCACACACCACCCAACAACAACACACACCACCCAACAACACCACACTCCACCCAACAACAACACAACACCACCCAACAACAACACACACCACCCAACAACAACACACCACCCAACAACACCACACACCACCCAACAACACCACACACCACCCAACAACAACACAACACCACCGAACAACAACACACACCACCCAACAACAACACACTCCACCCAACAACAACACACTCCACCCAACAACACCACACACCACCCAACAACACCACACACCACCCAACAACACCACACTCCACCCAACAACACCACACACCACCCAACAACACCACACTCCACCCAACAACACCACACACCACCCAACAACACCACACTCCACCCAACAACACCACACTCCACCCAACAACACACTCCACCCAACAACACCACACACCACCCAACAACACCACACTCCACCCAACAACACACCACACACCACCCAACAACAACACACACCACCCAACAACAACACACACACCCAACACAACACACCACACCCAACAACAACACACACCACCCAACAACAACACAACCACCCACCCAACAACAACACAACACCACCCAACAACACCACCACCAACCACAACAACACAACACACACACCACCCAACAACAACAACACACCACCCAACAACAACACACACCACCCAACAACAACACACCACCCAACAAAAACACACACCACCCAACAACAACACAACACCACCCAACAACAACACACACCACCCAACAACAACACAACACCACCCACACAACAACACACACACCACCCACAACAACACACACCACCACAACACACACACACACACACACCACAACAACACAACACCACCAACAACAACACCACACACCACCCAACAACAACACACCACCCAACAACACCACACACCACCCAACAACACAACACCACCCAACAACAACACACCACCCAACAACAACACACACCACCCAACAACAACACACACACCACCCAACAACACCACACACCACCCAACAACAACACAACACCACCCAACAACAACACACACCACCCAACAACAACACACACCACCCAACAACAACACAACACCACCCAACAACAACACACACCACCCAACAACACAACACCACCCAACAACACAACACACACCCCCAACAACACAACACCACCCAACAACAACACACACCACCCAACAACACAACACCACCCAACAACAACAACACACCACCCAACAACAACACAACACCACCCAACAACAACACACCACCCAACAACAACACAACACCACCCAACAACAACACAACACCACCCAACAACAACACAACACCACCCAACAACAACACACACCACCCAACAACACACAACACCACCCAACAACAACACACACACCACCCAACAACAACACAACACCACCCAACAACACACAACACCACCCAACAACAACACAACACCACCCAACAACACCACACACCACCCAACAACACCACACACCACCCAACAACACCACACACCACCCAACAACAACACAACACCACCCAACAACAACACAACACCACCCAACAACAACACAACACCACCCAACAACAACACAACACCACCCAACAACAACACACACCACCCAACAACAACACACACCACCCAACAACAACACAACACCACCCAACAACACAACACCACCCAACAACAACACACACCACCCAACAACAACACACACCACCCAACAACAACACACACCACCCAACAACAACACACACCACCCAACAACAACACACACCACCCCCAACAACACAACACCACCCAACAACAACACAACACCACCCAACAACAACACAACACCCCAACAACACACACACCACCCAACAACAACACAACACCACCCAACAACAACACACACACCACCCAACAACAACACAACACCACCCAACAACAACAACACACCACCCAACAACACCACACTCCACCCAACAACACCACACACCACCCAACAACAACACACACCACCCAACAACAACACACACCACCCAACAACAACACACACCACCCAACAACACAACACCACCCAACAACAACACAACACCACCCAACAACAACACAACACCACCCAACAACAACACAACACCACCCCAACAACACCACCACCACAACACCCAACACAACAACACACCACCACCCAACAACACAACACCAAGTGACCTGCAAGCAACACAGAACAAATACAACACAGATGACACACTAAAAGCTGAACAAACGTGAACACAATAAAAACACAGTGGACAATTTTGAGTGCAAAACGTAAATGAGAACCCATGAAACAAGCAAAATTCATTAGACAACACAACAATAAACTACACAACCCAGACGAGGCGCGCCAAGTTACATACATTAAAAACCACACAATGGCGAAAAATTAAATATTCAGAAGGTAGAAAGTAAAAAAAATTCAATGCACACACAACCCACGAGACACCCGGCACACGCAGTACAGAAACACGCGATCCTTCGACCGGAACACACAGGAACACACAGGAACACACAGGAACACACAGGAACACACAGGAACCGTGAAACAAACAGCAACCACAACCCAGACACACATGGAAAAAATACATGAACACGCAGGACCCGGGGAAAAAAAAAAAAAAACACACACCAGAAGCACACACACACACACATAGAACACCATTAGAAACACAACACAGAAGATAACAGTCTAACACACGGAAAAGAACACTTTTTTTTTTTTTTAAAACGTGGGTTTTCTGAGGAAGAGAAAACGTATGTCTGAAAGCTGACTTTAACCGCCCAAGTTGCGCGCACAACGGGCCGAGGTTATATAAGCTCTGCCTGCAGACTGCGTGGCCCCTCTTTCCGACAAGCAAGCAGCTGCTCACTTACAAAATAAAATAAATAAGTCCCTAATCTGAGCACGTTTTCTTCCAACCTCAGAAAAACACATTACAGTATGAACAAAGCACAAAACAATGTGCACAAACTTCTAAACTAGGCAAACAATACAACCACATACCAAGTAATAAGTTATAAAAGTATATGTTATAAACATATAATGCAAACACAAAAGCATATTTATCGGGGAACTCCCTCTTCGGAAACCGCAAGCAGTACGCCTCCCAAACGAGCTCGAGATCAGCCAGCGGTCTACCAGGCGACGCACAAGACTGAGGCATCAACTCCGGCACCCCATAAACCAAACACTTCACCCTCGGCGCCCAGATAGTATAGGAAATACACGAGGTCACGACCACTAGGGGCAGCCTCCCTGGGAGGGGAGGCACCAGCAGCACAGGCCCCTCCATCACATCGTCCTCCACAACTTCACATTCTGCAGCCCACCCACGAGGGGGCGACACACTCCTAGTCCTCGGGGAACGCTTGGACAGAGGCCTCTGATCATCCGAACTGTCGCCCCCAGCAGGAGGCATCCCAGCAGAGCCCACGGCCGGCCGCAAGTCACCGGGCAACACACGACCCGGAAAAACATCAGCCTCACCCACAGGGGGTACAGGCCCACACCCTTCAGGCGACACAGGAGCTGGAGACGGGGCCGGCGGAGGTGAGGAAGCCGACGGCGGGGGCGGGTCCACACATCCCCACCACCCCGACACCCACACCACCAACCGCACTAACTGGAGCGGCACCCATCACCGTAACTGTCCTCTCACAAGGGGTATCATCCACAACCGAGACATCCTCACGCTCGGGAAAATCCGCTTCATGAAACACATTTACCCGATCATACACCAGAGTGTCGCAGGCAGCAGCCAAATGTCCAACGTGGCCACACTTAAAACACGTCCGAGTCTGCCCACGGTAGGAGAAGCAGACCGTAAAGCCAGCAAGCGCGAGAGAAGAAGGCACATTCCCATGAAGAACCATCTTAACCGTTCTGTAACCATTACCGAGCCCCTTGACGTCCCCGGTTGTGTATCTACTGACACAATAGAGTCCACACATACCTGGCAAGAGCCCGACGAAGAAGATCCTCAGACATTTCAAACGGTGCATTCTTAAAAGACACGTATGTGTACTCCACACTCAAATTCGTCACAGTCACAGAGCCAAGACCGTTGCTCAGCCCCACCACCTTGTCCTCATACTGGTCGAGAAACCTCCGGAACAAGCCACTCTCGGCGAACTTCACAACTACTCTGTCGTCACGAACCACCTGTAGACCGACGAGATCTTCCACTTTCACACCCATAACTGCAAACAGAGTGTTGCTGACGACGCTAGTATCCACCCGACAGGTAAATGTCAGCCCAGCCGAGTCCTTCCTCCTTAGTGGCGACACGTAAGTCCCCCATACTGAGACTGGAAAACAGTCACCCTGCAGTGGCAAACAACCACCCGTCAGGGCAACCAACAATCACCCAATGTAAACACCAGCAGGGAGACCAGGGGAACGTCCGACCCGGCTGGTGGTTGTCACCACACTCACTTCTCATCCATTTGCACATCCTTTGCTAATGATATTCCATCCTCCCTAAATTAATGTTAAGGACTACCTTACAGGAAACTATCCAGTTTCTCTATACCTAACTCCCGCTAATTCCACTGATGGTAATGAGACTTGTTCTGGAAGGTTTCGAGCGAAATCAGTTGCGAGTCGTGTATAAACCGTTTTCCATACATAAACAGAGGGTTTGGCGGGTGTATGGAATCACTTTTGGGTCTTTGTTTGGAGGACGGGCTGCCTCAACCCAATTTTATTTGCTGATGACACAACCTTCATTTTATCCAGTCATAACCCTCTTACTCTGAATGATACAGTGAATACTGAACTAAATAAAGTCTGTTTATGAATGAAAAACGGTTTACACACGACTCACAACCGATTTCGTTCGAACACTTCCGGAACAAGTGCTTCACTGACGAATTTTGTTCGAACCATAACGCTGTAAATATTCAGCCCGTCCTCCAAACAAAGATACAAAAGGGATTCCATGCACCCGCCAAACCCCCTGTTTATGAATGAAAACGGTTTACACACGACTCACAACTGCTGACGTTCGAACATATCCGGAACATGTGTTTCACTGACGAATTTTGTTCGAATCACAACGCTGTAAATGCTTCACCCACGTACTACAAATACAAATAATCACCAACAGAACCTAAACACCTAACCTATCCTATCCTATGCCTATATATACACAATATGCTAATATATTATAATATTAATTTATACTTGAGAAAATTTCCGTTTTGAATGAACAGCATGTTAAAATTTATGAATGCGTCTGTGGGGTTGACCGCTGAATGTAATGGACTCTTGAGTCGAGGACGGGTTGAAATATTTCACCCACGTACTACAAACACTAATAATCGGCAACAGAACCTAAACACCTAACCTATGCCTATATATGTACAATATGCTAATATATTATAATATTAATTTATATTTGATATAATTCCCGTTTTGAATGAACAGCATGTTAACCACAATTACAAAACCCTGTTCTTAAATGCAAATCCTGCTCTGAAACTCTCTCTGGACAGATGTAATAGGACCCATTATCACCACACCAGAAATAAATATCTCTTTGATATCCCCAGAGTCAAACTTAACCTGTGTAAATACTCTATGCAAATAAAGGGACCCAGTCTATGGAACTCACTCCCTAATGAATTGAAAAGCTGTCCAACTTTTGCGTCATTCAAAAACAGTACTAAAATGTACCTAATTTCATTTTCATAGTTTTTTACCTTTTGCTTTAAAATTGCACTGTATCAATTGCTACCCAATCTCCCAATCTTTATCTACCCAATCCGAACATCTTTACCATTGTGATCATTGCTGTCTTCTTATATGTGCTGTCAATCTGCTGTATGGTGTCTATTAATCTTGTTTAAATTACCAATCAAGCTGTCAATGTAATCAATCAGAGTTTAATATACCAATGTGCTTTAATATACTTACTAATCTCTTTCTTCTCATTTTTTTCTTGCAATGTATCTGTTATCATTTTATTAATTCTGCTAGAATTTACCTACTTAAAATTATCTGTTAGATTAAGGACCTGCCCGAAACGCTGCGCGTACTAGTGGCTTTACAAGAGTGTAAATACTGTACTATGCTATGTATTCTCACAAACCCAATGTACCTTCTTGTATATAAATAAATAAAAACAAATAAATAAATCACAACGCTGTAAATGCTTCACCCACGCACTACAAATAAAAATAATCGCCAACAGAACCTAAACACCTAACCTAATCTATGCCTATATATGCCCAATATACTAATATATTATGATATTAATTTATATTTGAGAAGTTTTCCGTTTTGAATGAACAGTATGTTAAAATTTATGACTGCGTCTTTGGGGTCGACCGCTGGATGGAATGGACTTGATCCGAAGACGGGTTACTTGCTCCTTCAGTTTTTTCCTAGAAAATAGTCTGTTAATGTGTTTACATCCAGATCCTCAGTTACTGCTGACTGGACAAGGTTGAAGATAGTCAAAGACAAGGTTGAAGACAGTCACTATCAAAAATAGTGGAAAGTTCCTTGGCCTATACATAAGCAAGAGACTCAACTTCAGCACCCACATACAACACATAACTAAACAAGTCTCACAAACGGTCGGTATACATTCTAAAATCAGATATTATGTTCCAAACTCTGCTCTCTTCTCATTATACTATATTATACAACGCGTTTATATATCCCTGTCTTACATACGGTATCTGTACATGGGGTTCAACCACTGCAAACTACTTCAAGCCCATCATCACCCAGCAAAAATCTACTATCAAAACAATAACAAACTCCAAACTCTTTTTTTTCAGACAACACACAGCCCCCCCCCCCCTTTGTTAAAATCCCTAAACATGCTAAATATAAACTCACTCCATACATTCTCTTGTCCCATTTACATGTACAAAACCTTAATTGTTCCTAAGTGCAAATCCTGTTCTGAAACTCTTCCTTGACAGATGTAATATAACCCATAATCACCACATGAGAAATAAATATCTCATTGATATTCCCAGTCAAACTAAATCTGTGTAAACACTGTGAAAATAAGGGGACCTAGTCTATGGAACTCACTCCCTAACGAAGTAAAAAGCTGTCCAACCTATGTCTCATTCAAAAGTAAAACCAAAGAGTACCTAATTTCACCCTCATAGTTTCCTACCTTGTGTTTCAAACTCACACTGTATCGTGTGCTACCCGATCCCCCAATATATGTGCCTAAGCTACACAACTTCACCATTGTAATCACTGCTATCATCTTATATCATGGTTCTTATACTAAATACAAATTTAACTACAATGTACCTAGAAATAATCTTCGAATTATGCTACAATGTACCTGTTAATAATCCTCAATTTTTACTATAATGTATCTATTAATTTTCGTCAGATTTTCTTACACTACCTGTTAACATTTTTCAATTTTGCTACAAATTACCTAGTTAAAATTAACTGTTAGAATAAGGACCTGCCCAAAACGCTATGGGTGTTAGTGCCTGGCTTAATTACAAGAATGTAAAAACATCAATGCTATGTACTCTCATAAAACCAATGTACCTTCTTGTATATAAATAAATAAATAAATGTGAGCCGAGACGCCTTTCTATGCTCAGGATCGCTTTTTTTTTTTTTTTTTTTTATTATTTTCTACCACAGACGTGGCCAGACATTTACAATGCTAACCAGCATATATACATTTTCTTCTGTCCTCCATGGACAGGGTTAGAGATGTGTTAAACATATAGTTCAAGGGTTTATTGAACACTCAACCACAGAAGGTGATTCGGTGCTTTTAAAATGCTAAGCTAACCTACATACGTAAATACATAGATACACAGATTTACGTATGTCCTACATAAAGTGTTAGATGTGTCTTTTACATAGTGTCATTAATGTACATTCACAAAGGTGAAATGTAATTCTGATCAGCTTCCATATATACTTTATACCCATACATATACATACACACACATATACATACATATATACACACACACATGCATTCACATACATTTGTCTCATTTACTCTGACAGGGTGAGATAGCTGATAAAGAAACTAGTGTGCAATTAAGCACTTAATCACTGAAGGTGATGAAGGTGCTTTTACAAGCTCAGGTTATATAGTTACATCATATATATACATTGTATAATTGATATATTACATGGTCAATCTTGGATACAAGTCCAATATATCATCAAGTGTTCCAGTACTCATATAGTAATTACACAGTTCAGCATACCTTAGCCCAGGAGGGCGAAAGTCAGTCAGTATGGGACATTCTACAATATAATGTTCAAGAGAGTGCATGTTTTCTCTTTCACAAAGTTGACACATTGTGTACTCGACATTTGGGTTTTGAGAAAGCTGCCAGATACGTCTATATCCCAGGCGTATTCTGGCCACTATAACATCACATTGCCGGGTTCTTGTTCTATTAGTCCCATATGTGAATGTCTCCTCACGATATCTATCATAATATTTAATGCTACAACTTTCAGGTCTTTGTGAATTTGTTAGGTCGGTGAGATTTTCATTAGATATTTGTTTAAGTATTCTCTTTGTCACTGCTAATGAAACACCCATATCAATTTCTACCACTGGTTTTCTGCAGGCTGACTTAGCAAGCATATCAACAGTGTCATGCCTTGAGATGCCAACATGTGATGGTATCCATAGGAATTTAATCTCAAATCTGTTTTCTTTAGCAGCTAAAACATTCATTCGAATATCACTGACTATTTTCTGGGTGTCACTACTATGTGCGTTCAATGCCAGGAGTGCACTCTGCGAGTCACAGTATATAAGTCCACTGCCTTTGTCTTTTAAAAATTCAGTGGCAAGGTATATGCCTGCAAGTTCGGTTTGAGTTGTACTTGCCCAGTCATTGACGCGCTTCATTGCTGTATGTACGAGAGAAGATTGTTCAAATATGTTACATGCACATCCGGTACATCGTCCACCTTCTTCTACAGAGCCGTCGGTATAGCACTGATACACATCGTTACCCATACTCTGAGGACTTTCAGTGATATGAGTCACAATAACGGGGCTGAAGACATGATGACCAGAGCACACATCAGCCAGTGAAGGGACGACGACGTTTCGGTCCGTCGTGGACCAGTGAGGAGCCGTGTGATAATGGTCCAGGACGGACCGAAACGTCGTCGTTACTTCACTTCCTGATGCGGTGTGGTGATGAGTCTTGGTACTCTCCCACCACATTCACCGCCTGGTACTAACACAGGGATATATGCAGCCTTGGTACTCCCCCAGTATAGCCACCGCCAGGTACCAACACTGAGACATGGAGCCTGGGTACTCTCCCACCACATTCACCGCCTGGTACTAACACAGGGATATATGCAGCCTTGGTACTCCCCCAGTATAGCCACCGCCAGGTACCAACACTGAGACATGGAGCCTGGGTACTCTCCCACCACATCCACCGCTTGGTACTCACACAGGGATATATACAGCCTTGGTACTCCCCCAGTATAGCCACCGCCAGGTACCAACACTGAGACATGGAGCCTGGGTACTCTCCCACCACCACCACCATCCCACACATGACCCGTCTTTTCTGTAGATTCTACACAAAATTATTTAAATTTATAAAATAATATAAATTTATAAAACAATGGGCAGAGTTTCTTTCACCTTATGCCCCTGTTACCTAGCAGTAAAATAGGTACCTGGGTGTTAGTCAGCTGTCACGGGCTGCTTCCTGGGGGTGGAGGCCTGGTCGAGGACCGGGCCGCGGGGACACTAAAAAGCCCCGAAATCATCTCAAGATAACCTTTGGCCTATTCCCTAGTTACAATCATTACCGCGAGATCTCGGATTGGAACTCGTCATTTTGGCATTTTCATAATTGTTCTAGAGAAGTAACTAGTTGTTCACGTTCTGGGTGGTTTACGTGTACCAGAAGAGCGAGGAAGGCCTGGTCGACGACCGGGCCGCGGGGACAGTAAGCCCCGGAAGCACCTCAAGGTAAGGTGGTAGGCTGGGCGTGGTAGTACCACCACCAGCTGTTCAACCACCACCACCACCAGCCCACCTCCACTACAACAACACAATCATCACCATCTGCCTTAGTTGCTTCCTTATCGTAAGGCACCTACTAGGTCCTTTTGTCGAGTCCTTTGAGAGGCACTGACACTAGATAACCACTGGTTATGATGGAGGAACCCTCCGACAGGTGGTGGGTGATGGAGGAACCCTCCTGCAGGAGGTGGGTGATGGAGGAACCCTCCGGCAGGTGGTGGGTGGTAGAGGAACCGTCCTGCAGGTGGTGGGTGATGGAGGAACCCTCCTGCAGGTGGTGAGTGATGGAGGAACCCTCCAGCAGGTGGTGGTGATGAAGGAATCCTCCTGCAGGTGGTGGGTGATGGAGGAACCCTCCAGCAGGTGGTGGGTGATGGAGGAACCCTCCTGCAGGTGGTGGGTGATGGAGGAACCCTCCTGCAGGTGGTGGGTGATGGAGGAACCCTCCTGCAGGTGGTGGGTGATGGAGGAACCCTCCTGCAGGTGGTGGGTGATGGAGGAACCCTCCTGCAGGAGGTGGGTGATGGAGGAACCCTCCTGCAGGTGGTGAGTGATGGAGGAACCCTCCTGCAGGAGGTGGTGATGAAGGAATCCTCCTGCAGGTGGTGGGTGATGGAGGAACCCTCCTGCAGGTGGTGGGTGATGGAGGAACCCTCCTGCAGGTGGTGGGTGATGGAGGAACCCTCCGGCAGGTGGTGGGTGATGGAGGAACCCTCCAGCAGGAGGTGGGTGATGGAGGAACCCTCCAGCAGGAGGTGGGTGATGGAGGAACCCTCCGGCAGGAGGTGGGTGATGGAGGAACCCTCCAGCAGGAGGTGGGTGATGGAGGAACCCTCCGGCAGGAGGTGGGTGATGGAGGAACCCTCCAGCAGGTGGTGGGTGATGGAGGAACCCTCCGGCAGGAGGTGGGTGATGGAGGAACCCTCCAGCAGGAGGTGGGTGATGGAGGAACCCTCCGGCAGGAGGTGGGTGATGGAGGAACCCTCCAGCAGGTGGTGGGTGATGGAGGAACCCTCCAGCAGGAGGTGGGTGATGGAGGAACCCTCCTGCAGGTGGTGGGTGATGGAGGAACCCTCCAGCAGGAGGTGGGTGATGGAGGAACCCTCCGGCAGGAGGTGGGTGATGGAGGAACTCTCCAGCAGGTGGTGGGTGATGGAGGAACCCTCCAGCAGGTGGTGGGTGATGGAGGAACCCTCCAGCAGGTGGTGGGTGATGGAGGAACCCACTAGATGTACACTATAATAATCAAAGGGACGAGAGAGAACTGTGATGACACACACTCGCCACGGTCACCTGATCAATACTGCAGTCCACCCGGCTCCCTCTCTCACACCCCGCCACTCTCACGGGTTACTCTCTCACCCCACCTCTCTCACACCCCGCCACTCTCACCCCACCTCTCTCTCACCCCACCACTCTCACCCCACCTCTCACAACCCAGAGCTGTCTCACACCCCGCAACACTGACACGAAAATCATCTAAAGCAGTTATGTACCTTAGAAGGTGTTATGTACCTTAGAAGGTGTTATGTACCTTAGAAGGTGTTATGTACCTTAGAAGGTGTTATGTACCTTAGAAGGTGCACGCTTGGATAGTTACCCAAATGTGAGCGCACCGAAGACTATTACTGTCGAGTAAACACTTTTCCTTGAAGTAAAAGATTCTTTCTGACTATTCCTAAGGTTTGTTTATATGTCTTACTGCACCTCCTGCTTGTTGTGCAACTTTCAGTAACTGGTGGATCCTAACTCCTAGATTCTTCGTCACTCTGCTGCATATTAGCAGTGTTAATGATAGCTTGGATGTGCAGTGCAGACTTTGCCCTACATGCAAGCTCTTGCGTTTTCGGTATTGAAAAGCATTTTAAAACCTTCTAACCATTTGTAAGGTCTCAATATCAGTTTTGCTTCTTACTTTACCATAAATCTTGGTATTATCTTCAAATTTGATGATGTGGTTTGTAATACAATCTACATCACTGTTGTAGGAACTAAGATGACTGGCTAAAGATGGAACCTTGCAGTACTCTATTCACTACATTTTTTTCCAGTCAGATTAATTTCCACTTAGGATGACTCTTTGCTTGCTTTATTTTAACAAAGTACTGATAGTAACATGACCAAAAATACGTACCCTAAGTCAGGGTCATCTTAACAGCATTGTAAGCCCCAGAGAAAGCTGCACTGGGGCCCCCAACCCAGATAATGAGCCCTGCCTGCCCACTAAAGTACAGGATTGCCCTCAGATAGCCATGCACAAATTATGTACATAATAAATATAGTTTAAAAAGGAATTAACTCCAAGGCATTTTACAGTTGGAGGTCAAATAATTATCCATTCTGCCAAATCTGTCCAACCACTTGAGCTGGACGGTAGAGCGATAGATAGTCTTGCTTCATGCAGGTCAACATTCAATTCTCGACCGTCCAAGTGTTTGGCATCATTCCTTTCCCCCCGTCCCATCCCAAATCCTTGGCCTGGTCCCTTTCAAGTACTATATAGTCATAATGGCTTGGCACTTTCTCCTGACACAACATGCACTTCGTGATTCAGATGGACACCATGACCTGTTGCCATGATGATAGCCATAGGTAACCCATACTATAATTCCCCCTCCCTTCTGCCAAAATCCCTTTCATGAACATATGGGGGCCCCTAGAATTGTGGGGCTCTTGGTAACCTATCAGTGTGCCCATACATTAAGACGACACTGCCTGAAGTACTAACAGTTACATGACTAAGGGGCTCAAGTAAGTAATTATCAAAAGAAGGCACCAAACTGGGAAGGCTGTGTAGCACCATCAAATGTGCGGAATAATCAGAGGGCGCTAAATATCACCAAGGATGCCAATACGAGAACGAAAACGCATAAGGCGAACGATATCAAAAGTATCCGAGTCACCGAGGTCACTATTGAGAGACAGGCGACGGCGAGGGGCGGTCGGAAAGCAAGTAAGGGGCTCAAGCATATGTACTTAATGTACTGATAGTAACACAAGTAGTATACACAACCACTCGACTTGTATTTTCGTCCAGTGTATCAATTTGTATTTGGCACGGAAGACTTTGGCGCATATTAACAGTTACACATTTACTCTAAGAGGAAACAGATTGGGCATTAAAACACAGAGAGCAGAAATGTTGACTATATTGATGCAAGAATTAGGAAACTACAAAATCTATATACACTAGTTACCATACTATCTTACAACAGTTACATATGAAATGCATGTCTCATAACTTTATACAGTATATATATATATACAGTATATATATATATACAGTATATATATATATATATATATGCAATTGACGATCACAAAACACTGATCATTTTATGCGGAAAATCCACAGAGAAATATGAAATGAGGTGAACGTTTCGGCTTTGTTAAAGCCTTTGTCAACACCAGACTGACTGAAAAACGTTCACCTCATTTCATATTTCTCTGTGGATTTTCCGCATATATATATATATATATATATATATATATATATATATATATATATATATATATATATATATATATATATATATATATATATATATATATATTTATATTTATTTGAGATGTACCTGCGTGGGTTATGACTCGTGGCAGACATGTATGCTACTCACGGGAAGGCAGGACGTGTGTACCTTCTGCAGTTTGGTCCTCCTGCACTCTCTCTCTCTCTCTCTACACCCAAGAGTTTCTCTTGTCAAAAGCCACAACAAAGAAGTGACACTTTGCCTAAATATAAAATGAACACAAAAATATATTTGAAGTAAAAAAATGATTTATACAAATATTAATGAAAAATGAAAAGCATATATCTGGATCTATATCATTAGCATATATCTGGATCTATATCATTTCCTGTGTTATTAAGTTGTGCTATATTACCTTATATCATACACGTTCTAACACATACTGTCTACGAAATGGCCATTTAAACTCGTATATAAAACAAAAAATCATTAAAATATAAGATATAACTTTGAACAGTATATGCACACTTTAAAGGAAATTCCCACTCTATTGCACCTGGAGATTCTTCTCAATTAATAAATTGTATTATTGCTTATGTTATAAAAAAATAAACTCTAATCAGACACTTTTGACATTTGTAAACAAATTATATCTGGAAAGATGTTTTGAAAATGAAACCTAAATTTTGGACATACTAAATGCAACACTCCAAAATTACATAGATATGGAAAATTTGCCTACTATATTGCCAATTTTTATGTGTTCAGGGACACTGCACTATGATAGTTTGGCATTCATTTTGTAAACTGAAGAGGAAATAATTAAAACTTTCAAATTATGCAAACTACCCTTAAACATAACCATATTGCATTTGACTGCAGCCGATGCATCGCTGAACATAATAATAATAAGAGGTAGAACACACTTGGGCCTCGACTCCAACTTTCACCTTGTCACTTTGGAGTAATGCTTCAAACCTTCTTTATAAACATACAGCATAACTATCACTCCAGAACATGGGGGTCTTCTTGTCACATACAACACACACTTCTTACAATATCAATACACTATATTTATCTTTACTCAATCAATTTTTGTCCAAAAAAAATTTTGTGTATTAAAAATAAGAAGTTACACTTTGCATATGTAACGTCGGAAAGGATTGCACCAGTGTCTTCCTCAACCTAAGAGCAGTTCAAAAGTTGAGGTCACTTAAGAGAACACAGTCCTATATCCCATGCAGTAGTTTACATTTATCATCAGAGGATTAAATGATCAAATAAGGTATTTTAATGCATTTAACACTTAAGTCAATTATTGCATAAATGCATCCATGTAAGACACAGATGTGCATCTTCCTAAACCCTATACAGGTGCCCTACTCCATAGTGACTAGCAAATGCTCTAGCTCTTGAGATACACAAGTGTAAACACTTTTAACATCATCTCGCCTATTTCTCTCACATACTATTATATCTTATTTAAAATATAATCAGAGAAGCCACTTTTATCTATCTTCGTTGCTTTCAGCAAATCTTCCACTTTGAGCCCAGGGAAGTTTAAGCATATTAGTATGAGAAGACAGTGGAAGACAACAGCTTCAATTGTTACATATAAACACAACATTTATATGCTTTAAATGTTAATGCATGTTACCGTACATGGAAATATTGTCATGGTCACAAAGGAATCCGGAATGTGCTTATCCATGGACGTTTGAATACAATAAAAATAAATTAAAGAAATAAATAGCCCCATACTTAAAGTAACACAATTTTAAAATAGCCAACATGCACAGTGCAAACATAATAATAATAAAATCTGAGCTTCCTTAAAACATCCCATGAAGCACCATATCTGGCAGAGAACATTGGCATCACATACTCAAGTCTTCATCATAAGCTATTAATCTAGCTAGCACTCTTTATAAAAAACTTCGTCACCACTATCAATTGGCGAGAAGTTTTCAGCACAGGAGTCACTGAGAGAAAGTCTTCCTCCACAACGCTCGGAGCCTTCACTTGACCCACTGTCACACAAAGACTTGCCAGTAAATGAATCCAATGGGTCTGCTGCTTTCTTTAATCTGGCTAATCTAGGACTCTTAATGCCACTTTTGTTAGGCTGCTGTTGAAGATTTTGTTGCTGTCGCTGCTGAAGTGATGGGCGTGTACGAGGAGGAGGCTTGACTACTCGACTTGAGAAGCCTTTAGGTGGTAATGAGTTTTCACACTGAGGGTTAAATGTTTTCATGGATTCATAGCAAGAATCTTTAGGGGAAGCATCTCCTTTCTGTGATTTAGGAGACTCGGTTGATGATTTTTTGGAAGACATAAGAGATGTTTGGATACGTGGGATACGCGTTGAGGAGCCTGCTTTTGTGTTACTGCTGCCTGGTCTCTCAACACAACTGTGCAAGCCACTGGGAGATTTATTAGCAATACTTTTATTGTCAATTATATTAAGCTGAGGAGACGGCGTTCTACTGGATGGTGAGTTCTCTTGTCTAACACTAAACTTTGAAGCTCCACTGATGTCACTCACTCTAATTTTAGAAGGGGTCCATGCCCGAGGTTTGTTTGTACTGACTGGGGAACTGGACTTACGATAATTGGCTCTGGTACTGCTTGTATTGGAAGCACTTCTAGCTGGGATGGTAGGCATAGTGGCAGGTTGTTTGATTCCTGAGATACGATTCACTTTATTGAGCTGCAGTATAGCATTCTTGACACTACCAATACTCCGAGTATCCACACCCTCTTGTTCACTGGCATCACTCCAGCCACTGTGATTGCATCCACTAATATCACTTTTCACAGTTCTCCTTTTCTCTTCAAAGGTACTTATGTTTTTTCTAAATAAATTACTTTCTACTTTAGGTAAAACAGCACCAGCACTCCTACTCGTGTCAAGCAATGACGAGATATTCGTGTGTGGCGGCAAGTTGCTTTCACTGTCAATTATCATCTTATTTGCTCTGCCAGAAGCAGCACCTAGGTCCTGGGAGCCCAAGTCTGAATGAGAGGTGGAAAAATCACCAAGGAATTCAAATTCTTGCAGAGCTGCCTTCTCTTGCTCTCCATATCTTACGAACAAGTCTTTTCGACCAATGACAGTGGGACGAGGGGCTCCACTTCCGATAATTATTCGGCCACCACCACCACTACGTTGTGATGCTGAGGAAAGATAAAATTTTAAAGCTTAATAATTGGTCTCTAAATATTTTGATCAAATGTGTGTCATTATTCAAACAAACCATTGGTTAGGCTGATTGCTATAATACAAACACAAAAACCAGCATTGAATGTAATAAAATGCCATTTTCTGGGTAAGCCCTGGAAGCTCCCTAGAATTATCGAACTGAGATAAGATGTATTAGTATGGGGCATCAGTCAATTGGAGTTCAGCCTATCGGGGACCATGAGCCAGAACCTGGCCCGCTCAGAGAGGACCAGGGAGCAATGGCCTTCAGAAACCCCCCATGTGTTGGGAGCATTCTGTCTGCCATCGATTGGGGTTAGGTACCCAGAAAGGTAAGCATAACAAAACAGACCCCACTTGGTAAGAAATAACCGAAGATCGAACAGAGAGGCAGAACGCCCCCAAATTCTAAAGAAACAAGCAAACAAAATACACAGCTGCTGCGCCACGCAGCTGTTCGGCAGCAAAGAAGGGGGTCAGCTGGTAGGGGCCAGAAGCCTTGGCAGGAGGAACGGGCTCGAATGCCTCCGTCTCCGACTCGAATGGGACAGTCCCTAAAGCCGCCCAAGCCTCATCGTCGACAAAACCCCGCCCCGACTACAAAACCCTCAGACGTTTGGGAGCCTGGAGCAGGGAGAAGGGCACACAATGCCAACCAGGAAAGGACTAGGGGATGCAGACTGAACCAAAGTCGAAGTGACTGACACCCTCAAGTCTGATTCCCTATAACCAAAACGCCCTGGGGCATCCGAGCGGGCAACCAACCCAACACGTTGCAACAACGTAAACCTGGCATGCAACGCGGATGCCGCCTGTACCTAAACCTCTGTGACAATAGAATGAGTAAACTGGAGCACGAGCAGAGCACAAGTCTCGCAAGACTTCGGTGTCATTGTCAAGGGTATCGTTGACTCAACAGGCAGCATGCCGGAGGCAAAAATGGTGACTGTCACCCTTTGACAAGGGCACAAAACCACCTTCAAACTCACACAAGGCGAGGTGTGAGGACACATCCATTGGTCAACTGAGCCCCGACGAGGGTTTTCAGGGGCCCGTAGGGATGTCATCTACAGGAAGCCCTGGCAAGGTTCTGTACTGCTAGCTGGTTAAACCCACAAGCTAACAAGTGGGGATGAGCTAAGAACCAGACCCCTGTGACTTGTACCAGCACAGGGGCGTAGAGGAGGGCCACCAATATACCCTATGTGGACTAATAGCCAAACAAGGCTATTAGAAAACAAAAAACAAAAGAAAACCCCACAAAAGTTCAATGCCACCAGAAGGAACAGGAACACGGCCGCCGCGTAGGTAAGCAGGCAGCGCAGCACTTAGCGCCTCAACCAGCAACACCACCACTTCCTACCCAAGGCCAAACAAAGGCCACGAAACCCCAGCTAGCCCCAAGGATGAGGTAAATGTCGAGCAGCAAGAAACCTTACAGAAGTGGAATCCCGAAGGCTCTATGGAAGGTAACCCTAGAACTCAAGGATAATACTTACAGGGCACCTAGGGAAGGTAGCCCTAAGCACATGCTACCCCAGTACAATGTAGTTACACCTGGCCACTGCACCACAAGTAGCAGAAACCCCCACAAAGGTACAAAGACTGCCAAGAAATTGAGGCCAGAGTTGACGTCCACCCCAAATCGCATCAACCACCAAACTGGAGGTGTGAGTAGCCATCACCGGGGGGGGGGGGGGGGGGGGGTCCGGAACTTCCCCCTCCTCCTCCCAGAGAGGGAAGGGCTGCACGGACAAGCGGCGCAGCAGCGGTGTATGACGTTTCTTTAGAATTTGGGGGAGTTGTCCCTCTCTGTTAGGTCTTCGGTTGCAATTTCTTACCAAGGGGGTTTGTTTTGTTATGCCTACCTTCTGGGTGCCTAACCCCGGTCGATGGCAGACATGGAATGCTTCTAACCACATGGTGGTTTCCATAGGCCATTGCTCTATGTTCCTCTCTAAGGGGGAGGCCAGATTCCGGCTCATGGTCCCCGGTAGGCTGAGCTTCAACTGACTGATGCCCTAGACTAATATATCACATATCAGTCTGATAGCTCCAGGGAGTCGAAGGGGCTCCCCACAGAAATAGGGATGAAATTTCAAACTTTTGAGACAATATTGTACACACAGTTGTATTAAGAGTACACTATACTTTTGTCAATAGAAATGCACTGCTTTATTAAAGAGATAATACACTAAAATTGACTACTACATAAAGCAAAAACAAAGAAACATTAACAAAAAATATTTTGCAATTGATAAAACTGCAGCAGTGTTATGTAACAGAGAAAGAATCCAAATTGTTACGGATCCCATGCACATTCATGTATAAAAAAAACCAGCGTTGAATGTAATGAAACGCCATTTTCTGGGTGAGTCCCGGAGGCTCCCCGGAGCTATCCATGGCTGATATGGATACCCTAACTATTTTGCATCAGTCGATGTGGGTGGAGTTCTAGACCTACCAGGGACCACGAGCCAGAACCTGGCCCCCCCCCCTCACAGAGGCATGAGGAGCAATGGCCCATAGAAATGCACATGTGACTTGGAGACTTCAATATCTGCCATTGACTGGGACAGGCACCCAGAAAGGTAAGTACCAAAAAACAAACCCCTATTCTGGTTAACAACGAAAATTGACAAACGAGTGGACAGAACTTCCCAAAAGAAAAACGAGCAAACAAGCATGACATCACACGAGCCGCGCCGCATGTCTGCACAGCTCCCCCCTCCCCGAGAGGGGAAAGGGGAAGCCCCAGACCCTCGCGCCGGCGATCCACACCCCAGTTCTGAGGCTGGATATCAAAATACGCAAAAATCGCCGACCGGAGGGCGGGAGGGTTGCCGGGGAGCCTCTGGGACTCACCCAGAAAATGGTGTTTCATTACATTCAACGCTGGTTTTCTGGGGAAAGCCCCTATGGCTCCCCGGAGCTACTTCACCAAAGACTACCAAGAAATCCAAGGGGACTTACCCGGGAGGCGGTCGGTGCTCCACTCCTCAACTCGAAACGAGACAACGGGCTGCAACTGCCGACCCAAAGCAACACAGGCCCGACTGGGCCCAGGAACGTTCACAAGGTAGCATGCAGCCAGGACCCTGTTCGACCGCCAAAAACCCCGTGCCCGAATGTCAGCCAAGGACATGTTACCAAAGACGGCAGCAAGAGCAGCAAACTTACGAATGTCATGGGCATGGGGATAGACCGCAGGCTGGCTGGATTTAATAACCCTGCGGACGACCTGAGAGACCCGAACCCGCGAACAGGGAAGAAGGGAAACCGGATCAACCCAAAGCGCGTCCCTGGACACAGAAGCCGTGGCGTACAGATAACGGTGGAGGGCCACAACCGGACACAACACATGGTGAACCCCCGGCCTGACCAACCAAGCATCAACAACCCAAGGACCCCTCCGGAAAGCAGCAGTCTCGTTCTTCGCCAGAAAAGAGGGAGACAGCTGCAGACGAACATACCTATGACCACGACCAAAAGAGCAGAAACCCTTGCACCGGAGAAGAGCATGTAGCTCTGCAACCTGACTCACAGAGGCCAATGCCAATAGAAAAGGAGCCCTAGCAAAACAATCCTGAACCAAAGGGGCCACAACAAACCGAGGAGAAGAAAGATAGGAGAGCACTCTGTCCAAAGACGAGGACGGCTCACGCGACACATTCGCAGGCCGGAGGTGAAATAACGTACGAGACAGCTTGCGAAATGGTGCAGAAGTGACATCGATACCAAAAGCAAGCTGCAGCGGCTCTGCCAGCGCCGCACGATACAAGGCGAGAGTATTCGGCATAAGATGACTGTCCTGGAACAACCAAGAGAGAGAAAGGACACCACCACCCTAACCGAAAGTGAAGAATAACGATGAAGAGTCAAAAAGAAACAGAAGGACCACCAGGAAACTTCATACTGACACCGAGAAGAAGCCTGCAGGTGGGAACCATCAAAGAGGCCACCTGATCACCATAGAGATGGTGATAAACCCCGAGTAAAAAACACCAAATGCGAAGACTCAAAGATAAGAGCGAACCAGTCTCATACCGGACCAGGCCGATCTCCTGAACGAGGCGGAACCGCGGAAAACCTCTGGGTTCGGACACCGGGCAAGCAGCACCTGAAATCATGGCTGGGCCGGCCACCACGGGTTCAAGAGAACTACTCGCCCCTGGTAAGTTTCCAAGTAAGCCAGGACCTGGAGCAACAGCTGAACCAGGGAAAAGAGGTACAGGAACCCCCACCTCAACCAGTCCTGCCGAAAAGCGTCAATCCCGACAGCCTTGCTGTCGGGGAAGGTTGCCATGTACACCGGAAGACACCTCGACCACACCAATGCGAAGAGGTCCACCTCCCGACGTCCGAACGTCCGGCATAGCCAACTGAAGGAGTCAACGTCGACAGTCCATTCCATTAACAGGGGAACGAACCTGGGCAGGCCGTCCGCCAGGACGTTGGACACCCCCGGACATGAACCGCCAGGAGTGCCAAACTCCTGAGAACTCAGCAGGCGAGTCACCCGAAGCAACCTACCCCAAAGAGCCAAGGACTGCATCGAACCCCCTCAGTTTGAACCACCGGGGAGCAGTCCGAATGAAGCCGGATCGAAGATCTGCGGTGACCCGAACCCTCCGAAGTGCAAACCACACCGCCGCGAACTCCCGCAACGTGCTGTGGACCCGACGGAAGGACGGACCCCACCGCCCCTGGCCGGCCTGGTGAGCACTGGTCACAAAGCCCGGGCCGAGAGACAATGCATCTGTGAACACATCAAGCAAGGGCTTGGGTAGGGGCCATGGCACTGAACCCTGAAAATCTGGAAGAGGAAGCCGGCGAAGCAGCAGCCGACGCAAGACCCCCGGGGGTCGAACTAAGTGATCATGAGAGAGGCGGGAGGGACCACTCCGAAGGAACCAGAACAGCCGATGAAGCCAAACCTGACTCGGCAGGTAGACCATCATCGCAGAGCTCAGGC